AGGCTGAATTGTACGTTTTCTGAGAAAAACAACGTGCAATTCGGCCGCATGCCTTAGGGGGCCGAATTGTACGCTTTTCTCAGAAAACGTATAATTCGGCCGCATGCCATGGCCAATGACTACTACTTTTGGAGCTGTGCTTTTGTAGCTTTGGCATGCAGGATCATGCAGGCTAAGCAGGATATAGCGGTTCCCTAAGTATGGGGACCCCAATGTAGACCCCTAAATGCTACAATCCTCATTATAATGACCCCCAAAAGAGTAACATAGGGCAACCATAATTTTAGGAAACACCCGTATTAGGGGACTAGAGATCTGAAGGACCTTGCTGAGAATGCTTTCCTGACTTTCTGCGAACCTATGCATCCAGTTAAACATGATGTGCTCGAAGCCGCTGGCTGACGACAGATATGGTGACTTCCAGGCCTACTTCTTGACCCCCCCCACCCTCACAAGAATAAGCCCCAAATTAGGCTGGGCAGAGCGTCACCCCACCCCCCCTCAAAGGCATGTTACGAGGGGGAGGAATCATGGAAATAATGCTGGCAAAAAAATATTAGCAATAAAAACAAAACGTAATCGCAATAATAGCTACATTCACAGTAGTGGTAGTACTAATAATCATAATAGCAGTAGAGTAGTAGTAGTAGTAGTAGTAGCAGTAGCAGTAGCAGTAGCAGTAGCAGTAGCAGGAGGAGCAGCAGCAGCAGCAGCAGCAGTAGTAGTAGTAGTAATAATAGTAGTAGTAGTAGTAGTAGCAGTAGTAGCAGTAGCAGTAGTAGTACAAGCAAACATGCAAATTCATTTGCGAGAACAGTACCAACGATCTTTGCGGGCACAGTAGTGGAAATGGTAGTGATAGCACTAATACAAACCAATGGCAAAACATGTAGTAGAAAACCACAATATTGAAAGAGCTTGAACAAAAATCATAGCAATACCTATTTTACAGCATTGCAGCAGTAAAAAACAGCGTACTAGTAACTGCAAAGCATGAACGATGATGAGAACAAGTAGGTTTTGACTGGATTTGTTGAAAGCACTGTTTGGCCAAGGCCAAGCCTCTTGCACAATATGGACAACATGGAATTGATTGCCAAGCTTGGTGTGACTTGCATGGTCTTCATGTTTCTTGAAGTGTAGGGCTGCAAAAAATGCTACACATGGGGATACGCACACTAATATGAACACAGATACCCATAGTAATAATGGGACGAAAAAGTATACAGCAGTAGTCCGAGGACGCTTCATGTAATGTAGAATATGCCCAACCTTTAGAGCCCAAGACCTCCAAAAAGTATCATTTACCCTCTTCCTAGTCTTTCAAGGGGCGCAAATGCTGAAAGTTTCAGCAGGCATAGCCTTAGAAGAGCTGTAAATGATGTAATTTGCGGTATTGGTAGCGCTTCAAGAAGGCAAAAGTTGTATGTGCAATATTGGCAGCCTTTGAAGAGCTCCAAATGCTGCAATTTGCGGTATTCCTGGGACAAAGGGACCCCTCAAAAAAACTAAAACAACAAAACGTACCAAAACAAAATAGGATTCCAATCTATTTCTTCAAGGATGCCACACTGCATAATAATTGCGCCCTGCGGCGAAATAGATTTCACCATACAAAAATACAAGAGTTCTCAAAAACTGCAGGTCCCTGTCTGGGGGTCCGAATATCATGTAGCGTCATATGTGCTATGGACCCTGATTTTGAGAAACTCCTACGTGTAGGAGCTTCTGTTTGCAATGGGCGCCTTTGTAATTTTTTGGGGATCCCTAATCGCGGGAGTATCTTGCATGTATGGGTTCATTCGCAATCTAGCTTTGCAAAACAAACCATCTGCCAGGACGACAAACGAAGGAAATGCGTTATAAATTTAGCCAGCTGCTTCAATGCCACGTGCGGTGATGCGATTATGTGAGTGCCGATTCACCCATGATATTGCCAAACACGGTGCGAATAAATTGAAAATGAGGCGTCCGATTTTCGAACCCGGAAGGGGGTTCCCATGCCAGGTACCTTGCATGGGGCCTAAGTCTATACCATATACGGGTACGTTGACACTTTGGGTCGATAACGTGATGCTGTCAGTCCGACCACGACTTGATCATCGATACAAGCTGTCATCTTTATGATCTTGGCATGAGCGTCGGCCTTTATTTGTTACCTGGGCCTGGCCTTACGCGGGATGTTTAATCCATGGCCCTGATCTCGTTCGCCTTTCATCTATTCTTGTATTGTACCTTGACAAAATCACCTGATCTCCGGCGCCATGTTGGAATCTGTACTGGGCTCTTATTGCCAAGGTAACTGTGGCCGATCTCGTTCAATCCACGGCCCCTATCTAGTTCCCACATGAACGATGAACGTAGAGGCAAAAACGCCAACGCGCCTAACCTTCAACTCTCTCTTGCAAAGAAATGCGGCTGCTCACGTAGCAAAAATCACGAATTCAGGCCAGGCTACAGGATGGCCCTGCCTATTGTCGAGACAAGTGTTATGTGTAAGTTGATGCTAGACATCGCTACCAGTGTGGTGTGTGTTGCTACTATAGTCTCTGCTGCTCTACTTCTTCTGTTGTACTGGGACGAAGTCACAGTCGCAGATGCCGACAACGACAACCACCACATTTTCAGCAGCAGCAGCAGCAGCAGCAGCAGCAGCAGCAGCAGCAACGGTATACGTTCCAGCACTAACACCAGTAATAGCAACATCAGCAACATCAAAACTTCTGCAACAAATAAGGCTGGTGCCGGGATGCCAAGTCAAGCACAGAGTTGAGGATACCCATGGTTCCTGACCTCGGGCAGCCGCTGTTTCAAGATGCAACGTTCCAGGGCTACACAAGTCGATCGGGATCACATCGGCGGGTGTAGAAGGGTAAGGTACCAAGGCTATTAGCGACGGATCTATGGTTGAGGCTTTAGCAGTAGCATTTGAAGTTTGACTGCTTCAGGATGTGTGGGTCTCAGCATACTGCCTGGATTTCCTAGTGCTGCGCTTCATTCTCAATGGTACCCTGGCGCGCAAGCCCGCTCTTGAAAGTTAACTTCTAAGTGCGAACAGTACAAGAGCATCCACAAGGCTAAGTAATTCCTAATTGGAAATTTCTCAAAATGGGTGGCTCTAGGCACCCAGGCATATTGGACCCTACAGGGGTTAAAAAGATCCGTCTGAACAGTGATGTAGGGGTCGTTGTGAGAGCTGAAAGCTACCCAGTTGACTTCCAAGTCAGTGAGACTAGGCAGTCGCCCGCACCAAAAGCTCAAAGATGAGTCGTGGCAAGGCATACGACTGCCTGCTTCATGCGGTACACTCCTTGAACCCTATTGTACACCCTGAACGCCTATAGCCAAGACTCCTGAATCTTCATGGCTAAATGCCTAGACCCTATGTCCAAAACCGCTAGAAACCTAAACCCACTCACCCAGCCCCTCGGCTCCATGTCTGATTCCGTGAAGCGTGCTGGCACCAGCGTTACCACAAATACGCTAAGCAGCATTACCACAAATGTGCTCATCATCGTGGGCTGGGACTGCCTCATCATCCTGCTAGAGGGGGATCCCTTGTTTTTGAAGCATTTTCGTTATCGGGCCCCTAGTCCTCTACGCTTGTGTCTGAAGTCCAGCAGCAAAGGGTCTAATTTAGTCTAATTGCACAGAACTCAAACCCAAAGACGCAGCCAAATCAAAACACTCAGGCTTGCTGCTGGTTGAACGCATCTTGGAGACTGATGCAGGGGGCAGTATTTTCCTTCTTGCGAGCACAGGGGCAAGGCGAGAAGGAAACAAAGACATAAATCTACCTGCTCGTGAACTTCGGCTCGTCTCGCAGCAGCGCAGAATCATGAAGCAGCCTCTTGGAGGCTGCACCTACATTGGCTCTTTGAAGATGTCCTGTGCCCAAATGAAAGGCTGAGTCAGCAACCCCATTGATGCACAATTGTACCTTTAGGTCCAGGTCCAAGCTGCGATCCACTGCAGCTATCTTGGCGAGTCACACTGTACATAGGTCAACGAGCATTGGTAGGACACTATGATGCAGACACGCTTCCAAGGAGTAGCTCCTTGAAAAGGCTGCAGAGCCATTTTAGCTCGTTTAGCGTGGCTGCCGAAGGGTGCCTTGTCGTACTTGGTTGCATATTCTGTCACTCATAACCCGCTGCCCTTCTGGCAGACCGCTGGCAACACGTAACTTATCCTGCCGAGCCTGGTACATCTGTACAAACACATGCCAAAAACCAGCCAAAAGCCAAGGCCATCCAAGCGTTGCAACAATCTGATTCTAAACAAACGGTTTCATAGCACTAGTGGACCCGCGAGGAGCCAGAAGCAATTGCTTTGGGTTGAGCTTGTGAATCATTCTCAGCTAGGAGTGGAGGGCCCGTCTCGAAAGTAGGCATGCTAGCAAAGGCAGGGAAACGACCAACCACCACGTGGTGTGAGAAGTTTTAGCAGCACTCATGCTGCCCGGGGCTGTGCCACATGATGATGTCTGTAATAGGCTAGCTGACATATCGTCAGTAGCCAGAAAGGAATCGAATGTGACAATCGTTTGATTTCTCAATGATCAGTGATCAGACTACAGCTTTTTGAAGGGGCATGGAGCTTTTGTCCATTCCCGAGCACTGGCCACCTTACAGCCACACGGCCCTCAACCAAACAGTGGATAGGACTCAGGGTCCACCTTGCTTTCGTTGATTGTGCTTGGAGGATGTAGCAAATTTCGAGGGAGGAAGACTAAAGGTGCCCGCGGACTTGCCTTCCCCCAAAAGACTTAAGCTCCTGATCATCAGCTCTGAGAAGCGATTCTTGGGCTGGGTAAGCGGCCAAGTGATCAGGTTCTTAGATCCTTTGGGTTCAAATCTCGCCCATGGTGGTGTGCCAACAAGACACGTCCCTATAAAGCTTGCCAGCAAGCTGGTGTCAACAGAAATGCATAGCATCCCACGATGGACGACCAGGCAACTATACAATGCGCAGAAGGAAGATTCCGTGGTCCGGAAAGGTCAGACCATCACATCTGGCGTGGACAATTGTTGTTGCAGCCACTTGCGGCGGCGCCAATTGAAGATCCCGGTTCTCAGCAAGACCTTGGATATCGGTTGCAACAGCAGGTCTTGCCTGCGATGTAGGCTGCACAAGGCACCATGTAATTCATTTCGAAGCTGTTGCACTCCGACTCCCTGGCTCCAGAAGTATGAGGCCCTTGTAAATTAAAACAGCAAATTTGTGAATCCTGAAAGTTCCTACAAACGCCGTGCAGTCCTGCCTTCATGCGAGCCAACTTCTCTTGCACACGGAGCTCGATCATCTTGTGTCGTACGTCTGCCCCGCTGACCGGGGATGCGGTTGTGGCCACTCGCATGATCGACTGTGTTCGGTCAATGCGGTAGCTCAGTAGACCAAAGCTGACGAAGGACCAGAAGTTGACGACAGTGGTGGCCATCTCATGAAACAAAACGAAGAATGCCACAGCTCGCTGAAGGGAGGCTATTCGGCCTTCATAGAGCTGCATGGAGATGTACTGAGTTCTGGCCAACTGAAAATTTTGGGCAACAGTAGATGTTTGCTGGAGAAGTCTTTCACCAAATACATTCTCCCAGGACTCGAAGACCTTCGTTGATTCCAGCACAACGCAAGCATCCACAGTGTCGTTCATGGCCTACAGGACAGCCCAGTTTACAACAGAGCAGCTACAATACACACAACCTCTGCGCACGCTAGCCGAAAGAGGCGCGCCTGCAATTGCAGCAGCTCAAAATCCTCCAGCGACTTCACGCTTGACTTCTGCAGGCTGAAGATTAGCCTTTGCGTAGAAGGAAGGACAAAACTGATCTTGGGACTCCCAAACAGTTTAGGTTGTAGGACCTAGCAGGCAGACTGAGGCCGCACCCCGTTACCATGCCAAACAGAGGCCCGTGATGTAACTTTCACATTTGAGGCCGCAAGCAAAAAGCCATCTTGCGAGTAAACTGCTTACAAATAGACTGGGGACTGGGAGTACTTACACGGGCAAGGCTCCCATTGCAAGTAAGGCCGTAAGATTTCCGCTGGAAACAACAAATCGCGGGGAAACTTTGCCAGCTTCATCGGAGGCAGCTTGCAGTCTGAGCGGGAAACGCCACCACATCCGGATTCCAGGCGTCGGAAAATCGATTTGATGGCTTTCTTGCATACGTCCTTGAAACTGACAGAACACAACGAAGCACTTGTGTAGGAATACACTCCGGAAGGCCAAACAAAATGAGGGAACAATTCAAAGCGCCAGGAACTTGAGTCAAAAGAGACAAATCTTTGGCTGCCCCTACGAGTACATCTCAAACCGCTAGGCCCACGTTGGAAGCGTGAAGTAGGGTACAAATGCCATGCATATGTAGTTGCGCTGGCCCATGACATAACAGCTACGTTGGTCTCGCTAACTATCAAGCTTCCTGGTGTAGAAGCTGGACACCGCGCCAGCATTCCTCGAATTTGACATAGCCATCCTGCGTGAATCATGTCTAGATTTGTCAGGATGACATGGATCAGCCATCTGGCCGCGATGCCCCATATCATAAGCACGACTAATACCACACAGCTGTGTCAAAGGGTAGTACCGGGAACGCAGGCAGGCAGCAAAGCTGCACACCTTTTTTATACCCCGAGGCCTGCAACAAAGCCTACTGATCTCCATATGCTTTGTTTTGTTTATTCAGCCATCAGCAGGCCCCGGCCAAGGCTTGTTAGCAAACATTGCAATTCATTACAGGCTGCTCTCTCCGTAACAATCCAACATAGGAGGTCAGCAAATAGCTTCGCACAGGCAACTTTCGCGCACTTGGGATGTAAAATGACTTGTGACACAATTTGTTGCCAGGAGCGGGCCTGAATACTGCGTGATGACCACGTGCGCGGGCATGGTGCTGGAAGCTACAGACCAAAATCCCTCCAAATCCTGATCTCTGCAATGTGCCAGTCCTCGTCAACCTCCAAGCTATCTGCCACAGCCTGCACCTGGCTACGACAGCGGTCGAAAACTGATACACGCCCTCATGATATCCTGCAGACGTGCAGGAATAAACTACAGGCATCCCACTTCCAGTGCAAGTCTGGAAAGGCCTGGACTCACAGCTTTTGAGGGGTTCCTGCAATCCCACCTTCTCCTCTGACTCTGCCTGGCACTGCTTCTCCAGCGCCTCCACAAGCGATGAGAGCGTTAGGCTGGACTGAATCGAGCCGGAGGCTCAGCTGATGGCCCACGCAAGTTGGAGATTTGAGACAGCCAAGGCGCACCGGCAGGCAGTTTTCTTTGGTTAGTTGGGCTACCCCTACGGTAACGTCCCAATCGAAATTGGGTCAACGGTCTGCCCTGAACATCCCTGTCTTGTCTGATTGCCTCTTGGAGAGGCGTAGCTTTCATCGCTGCCATGCTAGTGTAATAGCTGAAGAGTCAGAGCCTGTTTGATCATCCTTTTTCGGCGGTGGTCCAGCATGCGCTGCACGTCCTCCCCGTCCTCCATTAGAAGTCAGCAGCTTCAATTGCTCAACTCTGACCTTGGGGGATGTTGAAGGGCCGTCCAGTGAAATTCGTCTTAGCACCCATGCCAAGCTCAGATTCAAATGGGTGCCTCCGCCAGGATGTGCGCACCTCTAGAAAACTCACACGGCAATTGAATTCCTCCTCGCAACACCCGGTGATGCCCTGGACAGCATCGAGAACGGTGCTGGTGGGCCCGCGAAAGTGTCTAGCCCAGAATGGAAGTAATGGAAAGGGATGTGTCAAGTAGGATGCAAATGCACAGAAATGATGGCTAGCTAGGGCCACCCTGCCTGCCAATGTCACAAAGTCACTGCGCCCGCCCCGCCGCATGCGCAAGTACTCAAGCGTCCTGCATGCTGTCTGCAGCCAAATTCTGGAAAGCTCCCAAGATGGAGACGGCAGAGCCACCTGCAAGCCAAGTTGGCGTCAGCTGGTCACTGCAATCGAAACTCGGGTTACCATACCAAACCTCCAAACCATCATGAGTTGGAGTTGTTGACCCTGAAGCGGTGTTTTCCGTTTTCGGTTCTTACGGGCTCTCAATTGCTAATGTGTCTCTTGGCAAAGATTATCTTGCAAGTTGGTCGGAGGGACTGCCTTCGCGTTGTGAGCTGTGGCGAGCGAGTAGATGCTCGCAAAGAAAAGGAGGGCGGGCATCTTTGAGGAACACCTTGGCCGCATCTGATTCGACTTGGGGATTCAGGCTGCAGGCCAGATGCCAACCCACATGCTTTGAGATAGAAGCTTGACGAGCACCTACGCCGTTAACCTTGACGCACTTCTTGTGATGACTGCTGCGACTAAGTGGATGAAAGCTCGACCTGACATCAGTGCACCATCAAGTACGGAGGAGCTCGTGCACCCCCGAAGGTGAGCAGACAAGAGCTGGTACAGTGACGTGAGAACTTTCCGCTTTGACATCAAACATCTTGGTGTGACAAGACATATAGGTGCCTTCTGACCCGCCCATCGTTTTCATTCAAGACCGATGGAACGAAAGGATTGAAACAAACTCATTTCCTCTGCAGGCCAAGCTTGAGGCTGGCCAGCAAGAAACGGATGAAGAGTTGACGGGACTGTTGGTGAATGTCATGCACATTTTGCCAGTGGCTTGCATGACGTTGAAGACGGCGGCGCGACAGAACAAGTTTCGGATAGTTTCGTGGTCTGGAACGGCTGTTCAACGCTTTCATTCCTTGCTCTCAGCAAGGAACACCTGCCAGGCTTGACTGCATGGCGTTGGTACAAACTGCACCACACAACTAGATTCCATGTTATTTCTTCAAGTCAAGACTGTCCTTCACCATCCTTCACCAAGCAAAGGGGATCTGTAAGGTGTGCATGCAATTGCATGTACGCAAAGCTAGTCGTAGGAAGAGCGGAAAGCTCAAGTATTCCGTGTTAGTGGAGCTTAGCAAGAGCTAACCCTGCTTGTTGCAAACATTTGCAGACCATCGCTCTGCAAACCAGCTGTGCTGCTTTAATTCATCAGGCCCTTGCCCGTTTGCATTCAGCCAGCAAGTGCCACGAAAATGTTCCTGAACATGTCGGTACTAGATTCTTTGCCAGACTGGCTTGCTAGGCTGGATAGAAAAGCAACTAAATCCTAGCAAACCTGAAGGTCCTGCAGCAAGGCACTGCGTTGGCACTCAAAGGCAGCCGGTGAGGGTTATGGCCGATGGTAATGCCTGACGGGCTGCTGGCTTCCAAGCTTCTACGTATCCTAGCTTTGGAACTTCAGGTAGCCTTTGCAGATGACAAAATCTGTCCGGCACAGAAAGACCATACTAGATGATGCCTTGTCGTCAAGCCATGTCATGTCGCCCGCAGTTGGGCTTGCCGGTAAGATATGAAGGTTCTGACAAGTCTTGGGCCACGTCTCAAGCACAATTCTGCAAGGATGCTTGATGATCTCTAGAGTTGGAACTCCACAAAATGAGCCGCAGGTTGCCGTTTTCCTGATCTAGTCCGTCGCTGTGAATTGTCACGCTTGCATTCTTGCATTGTTGGAGACTCTTAAGGCACTTACAAGAATACAAATTAAAGTTGATTAGCCAACGAGCCGTCACATGGCCTTTCTTGCAGCCATGGTGCTTTCACAGGTGGCACCCAGTGACTGGATGGAGCTTGCCTGCCAAAATTCGTCATGAGCCAGTGGTTTGAAGGTTGTTTGTAGATACGCCTCAAGTGAGTCATCTGCTTCTGATTCTTCTTGGCAGGCTTCATCGCTGTTGCTTGCACAGCAGGGTATGGACATGTCGCTGTCCCTAATTTTCCAGGCGCCGGCAAGCAGGCAGCCCGTCATAAATCAGACTGCTTATAGGTATAACCGGGGTTCTCTCGGCAAGCCGTTCCAGAGACATTGGCCTGGTTCACGGCCATGCACACTGACCTGGGCGTTGCCGAAACGCTAATGATTTGGAGGCGGCTGCGAAGCTGCAAAGCTGCATGTTGCCTGATTTCCTGCACCTTCTGTCCACAAGATTCCACAAACAGAAAGTACAAAGGCACCCCCATAATCCTGAGGGTCTGACTGCTCTGCGGTGCTCAACGCCGTAAGGCGTCCATCAGGGCGTCCGCAGGCAAGAAGTGTCCCACGCACCACCCGATGGGTCATGCCTTAGCTGATACTGTCCCCTTCATGGGCTTCATAAGTTTCTTGTTACGTTTTGCTTGCTTGCTGGATATCACATCATTTTTGATGCATCCTGCTGTGGCTTGCTCCCTACCATCAGAGCTACCCATCCTAGCATTGCTCATGGCTTATGGTACAGCGGCTTGAATTTGAAAGGAATTGGTCCAGGGAATGCAAAGAAGCCGTGAAGCCCAGCTGCGGTGCACCAAGTGGTCGGCGGGATTCGCAGAGAAGACAGCCAGGCCAGTGGCACTGTAGGTACAGGCCATGAGCTTTGACAGGAAAGCTTCAGCCGACTGTGCAACCCAAGGGACCTGAAATGCCGGGATCACAGGGGCAAGAATGCCTAAAATTCAAAGCGAGCAGTCCATCTTGCACAGAGCGCAGGAAACAGTTGACTCCCAGGCGCATCACCAATCACCACGGTACGCGTCGTCATACGGTGCAGTAGCGGGCGTTGTTGCACGAGGCGGATGAACAATATCATGATCTGGGGAAGGAATGCCTGCACAGTGGCACATGCTGCCCATGCTGCCCATGCTGAAGGGTGAGCTACGCAAGCCTAAGCCTCACACCTGCTACGCCGATGGCCTGTCCTCATCGCTATCCCTCATGTGATCTTAGCTATCAATTTCAGTAGCAGAGCTCCTTAGAGTGGTATGTAGAGCATGGCGCTGGCCTCTGGTAGCCTCTATCAGACTGCAGGATGCACAAGAAAGGCAGCATTGCACAGGCATGGCTTGAAAGACAAGCATCACCTGAACATCATCTAAACTTGCCCTTCTGATAGCCACAGCTGCGTAAATTGCCGCATCCAAAATCTTTGCCAAGTAGATCAGCTCCTGATGGCCACATGCTAAGTTGACGAACTCCTAGCTTCGGAAGAGCAAGACTGGCAAGCGCTGCAGAGGAGCCGTTAGCCCAACGTCCTTCAACTCAAAATGATAGTACACATACTGTATCATACTTCTAGCGTGTGTACATATATATATATATACACATACACGTACGTATGTAGGTAGGTATGTATGTCTGTATGTACGTACGTACGTACGTACGTATACATATATATATATATATACGCCAGCCGGAAATTTGAACCAGCCGTCCTTCTCGAGAGAAAACCCGCGCATACTAGCTTGCGTGCAGCTGGTCATTGGCGCGCTGCCGTACACCACCTGGGCTCTTCTTCTGAGCCATCCGCCAGACGCATTCGCATGATACCCATGAGCATAATGTACAGCAAGGAGCTACAGCTACTCATTAAAAGTTGCATCATCCCATTGAGCGGCCACTTGCTTAGTTGTCTGGCGCGTCACAACATGAAAAGCAATACTGCAGAAAGACTAAGCTGCTGTGATAAAGATGTAGAGCGCTGACAGCATCCAAGCGCGTGGAACCTCCAGCACATGCTGCGCCCATTGTCGTCCTTGAGCCCTCAACTCTCTGGCGATGTGGTGGTCTTCTTCACGGCCAACCTTTCTGGATTGAATTACATTGTCTTTAATGGTGCTTGATGCGTTCAGAGGCTAGGGTGCGTATAATCTGCAAGTAAGACGCCGTCCAACCAGTGCCAAGCAACAATAGATCTGAGTGCTCGGATGTTCAGGCGGTTGTTTTTCTCCAGCTCGGCAAGGTCCATGCGCTTGATCTTGCTTCCAGCTGCCATGCTCAGCTTTCTGTCTGACACAATCTTGCTGGCGACGTAGATCCTTGCTGCCACGCACGATTACTCATAACTGCGAAGTGGTCTTCACTAGACCAAATAAAAGTGCCATATCCACCTTTACATGGCCAAAGGCTGCCCTATGCATATCTGATAGGTACTAACTAGAACGCTACAGGCAGCTTTCCAACAGTGCATTTCAACAAGAGTGGAGGGCTACGTGCTTGGGACGCGACTTCTGGGCTCATCTAGTATTCTGGTCTGGCTTGACTTGAGGATGTCATGGTCCAAAGAGGTTTGGCTCAAGGGGGAATGGCCCAGGCGCAAGATTTGCGTGAGCATCTGGTGCGTGGCTACCACCGACAGGGAGCAGGGTTCAGCAGGCCGAAGGCCGATCTCCGTGCTGAAGACGCGGCCCTGCATGCCCTTCAGCTGGCGTAGCTGTCTACCAATGGGTGTGTCCTGACAATCGTCTGGAAAAATCGTGTGAGCCCTGGATAACATGATGGCAGGGTCCCTGGCAGTGGGTTATGAAGATTTCTGCGACCTAGAATTAGCCTGGCTGCCGCTTGGAGAAAAAGGCTTCTTCGCAAGATGTTATTTCCCTGCATGCATATCCAGCTGCAGAATTTCAACCCTGAAAGGCCCAAAATGCAGTGTCCCACTCCGACGTGACCGCGAAGATGTGAGGCGTCACCGTCTGCCTGGGTTTGTGCATAGAAGAGGGGCTACTTTTGACAAAGGAAACTATTACTAAGCTCTGTATGCTGTCGTGACATTGACTAAGCTTCAATGTAAAGCATGAAAAGCATGCACCGCTTGGAAAGCTGGCTGCAGCAGATTCGAAAGAGCAAGTGGTGCAAAAGTGCCGCCGCTTTGGCTTACGATGAGGACAATGCAGTCCTGGCAAGCCAATTTTGGAGACTACAGGTTTCACAAGCGGTGCTTGCAGGTAAGCAGGCGGTCAGTTTTGTCTAGATTCCAACACTTCTGCAACCTCCAACATTGGCACAACAAGAAGCGCCAACCCGAAGGCAGCAATTTTCAATCTTGTTTAACCTCTGCTCAGAACGCCCCACTAGCCTGCAAATCCCAGCTCTCACCGATCTCTTGTCCAGTCTGCGCCATGGGAAACTGCTGCCCAAACCTTAGCGGTGCAAAGCACAAACACAAATCTAGATGGTGGGTGCTTCCCTTCTGCGACTAATTAATCGCTGCCCATCTGTCAATGGCAATCTTGTTCTTTCTCGGAAAGCCCTGATGACCAACAGAATCGTTTGCTAAGGCTTTCGAACTGCGCCGGCACTTATAACACAAGATTAACACGTCTTCGAAGCCTGAGCTCTACGACACATGGAATACTCACAAACGTAACCTTTTTCACATCAGGACACGTCGAACCCCTGCGGCTTCCTATTGATGTGTAGCCTTGCCACCGAACAGCAGTCATCTTAGGAGAAAGTTATGTGCTCAGAAGGGTAGAATGACGTGGTATGCGAAATGCCATGCAGAAAGCCTTCTGCTGAACCACGGGATACCACAGAGTAGGCTACTGTGGTCAAGCCTGCACGATGCACTCCTCGCTCCCCAAGTCATCTGCCAAGCGGCATGCCCAAAATCTTGTTTGCGGACGCTGTCTTCACAACCAGTTTCTGAAAGCACGTCCTCAGGCAAGTGAACCTTTATCATTACAGCATTCAGATTCTTTGCCATCTTCCCGTTTGTGGCACCCCATTCAAAAAGTCATCGCGGTCCTGAGGTCTGCTGCGAATTGCTCACCAGCCCACAGACTCACCTTGCAGTGGGGCATCGCATTGAGTCTCTGCAGTGCAAAGGCTGTATACGTGTCAGCCGAGTGGTACTTGAGCCTGGGTTGGTTGCCCCGCATCCGTCTTTTTGACTTTTTGGCTCCCTGCACAAAAAAAAAACCGTGCCTCACAAGATCCGCCTTGCAACCTTCGCGAGAAAACTCCTCGTACACCTACAGTACCGACTGGGCCATGACAACCAGCTCATCGAGCTTTACAACAAATTCCCAGAGAATTTTGTACACGTTTGAACAAAGGCCTCGCAGCCAGTGACCAGCAAATCGACAGACTCCGCTGCAAGCTGCCCAGAGCCTTTTCGCTCGAGCCGGCTGCGAAGCACCTGCCAAGGAGACGGGACAAAAATGAACGAGTACCTACTGTATTCGGGCTGAAAACAAGTGATACCGCAAACAAGCAGGAGTACTGATGGGAGAAGGGTTTAAGGAGAAGGGTTTAACTACAGGTCTCCGCCATCTTGAAAGTTGAGGGTTTGGCGATATTCAGCATCATGCAGCCGTTACTGGCCCTGCCTCGCCCAAAGCCCTGGCTGTGGCGCGATGCGGGCGCCCCTCGCCCCAGAAGTCGACCTCGGCCCCAATGCAATTTCGAATTATGGCCGAGAGTTGCTTGGTATCTGTTCCAGCAAAAGCCAAGATTACAGGCACACTCCGATTTCTTGCCTACCTGCCATACGCCCTCTTAAGCCATAACTTCTTATGAGTTGACATTTGAAACAAATCCTTCCCGCCTGAATGTTTGCCACAGACCCAGGGATATCTACGATGTCTGCGCCGACCGGGTCCTGTGCTCAAGGAACATCCCTTCTCGCGCTGCTTTGAAAAGTGCAGCCCCTCGAAAGAATGTCGCGAGCGTGTAGAGGTGCAAAACAGTGGCGGAGCTGCGTGGACACTACCATAGGTCTCTTGCGGTTCAAATGAGTCTCTGTGCTCTGCCGGTCCTTCAGGCTCTTGGGCAGCTGCTGAACCCACGGGTTGTCTTCGATGGGAACCAGGCGGCAGGGCAAGTTCTTCTGCGCAAAGCAGTCCTGCAACTGCCAGCACTTGACAAGGGGCAAGTCTGCTTAGAACGTGCGAAGCAGCTGAAATTGCCTAAGCTTCAACTGCTTGCATCGAACATGGAACGCTGTCTGGGTGGAGCTGGTACTTCACCCAGGTACTTTCAACAAACACTGTGATTTGGTTCTCCATCTGAAGCCACTCCCAGGAAGTGCACCTGTACGAGCGTCACTGTCATGCTGTGGTTCATAACCTTAGAGCTGCCAACATCTGCAAACCATCAGGCCCCGCTGAAGATGCCCATCAAGTTTTGGTGCACTCAAGCTCCGAACATTGTCATGTGACATCAGGAAAGATCTGCGAACGTCACAGTAGCTAGGCGGGAAAGTATCCCAAAAGAAGATGTCAAACCCCTGCAGCACCTGCACCCATACAACAATCTGTACCCTGATGCAAACCCAAACTTCTACTTCTCTTGCCAGCTTCCCATTCTTGCAAAAACCGCAGCAACAGTTCTTCGCACAGGGCCAAGCCACCGGTTGTGGGGCGAAGGACTCACTCATGGCTGAAGGCATCCCTTGGCCCCAGTCCAGCAAGCCTTAGTTGCTGGGTGGTCCACTATAACGGCGGATTTGGATGCTTGACCTCAAAGATTGCCAAGGTGACCATCGAAGCTGCCAGTCAACATAACATGCAGGACGGGAGCAAATCTCACCGCCGAGGTCGTCCAGGTCCAGCCGCACGGCTGGGCCTTCGTTTAGAAGCGACCTGTGGCCAGGCTCTCTTTCTTAGACTGCGGGTCAAGCCATCTTACCTCATGCTGTTGTGAAGGCTGGGTCGGGGAATGAGTGTGCAGTATCCGAAGATGAAGCACTCTTCGGAGTATTGTCATCTTACTTGGAAGTCCAGTCCTGGAATTTGACGCAGACACAGGCTAGTAGAATCCCAGTCACCGAATCCCATGCAGCGTCAATTCTGAGCCATCACGAGCCTCGTGCGGATCCGGCGGGCAGCCTCCAAGTCAACGGCCTGGTCGCTGGAAGAGGCTGCAGAAGTCGCATTCGGCGCGCGTACCTTGAAATTCAATGCATTGTTTCCACATGCGCTTTCGGCACTCTCAACACACCCTTCAATTTTGGTAGGTGTTGGCCATGGCCATGGGGACCCAAATTCCTCTACTGTGCGCTATGCTAGCCGTGAAGCTCTCAACTGCTGGCAATGCATGATTCAATCTCTTGCATCTGCAAGCACGGATTTGTTCTTAGTCACAAGGCACTTTTCAGGAAAACTGTCAAGCTGACGGAGCAACGCAGTTACCACGAAGCTGCCTGCCATTGCAGGACATTGTCTCACAATAGCATAATCAACTCTGACCGCTGGGTTTGAAAGAGTGCTGGCATCGCATGGGCACAGAGCTCCACACGCAAAAAAACACAAATACCAACACAACACTCAGGAGAGTCACGCCAACAGCCGCCTTGACAGCCGATTGCTCGGAGGCATAGAGCACCATCCCGCTTCTTGGGTAGAAGGCCACCGACATAGACTGGCCACCTCCAGCTAGCCGGAATCACAGGGGCTTTGCTCTCAGAGCCTTCTAGATACACAGTTCAATCTCACGGGCTTAGCAATCTGCAGGAGGCTGCTTGCGCTTTCATACCTGCAAGTCATCATGGAGGCTATGCTTGTCTTCAAAACGTTACACGCCATACTTCAGCAGCGACCTTTATTAATTCTAGACTTTGTGTTGTGTGTTGTCATATCTCTTCTTCTTCTTCTCACAGCTATGCGACCCCCCACAAAAGAAGGCGCCGCGGCAATGCCGCGAGCTGGGAGGAGCCCGTCCATATCCAGTCGGGGTGAGAATCCAGATCTACCACACAATCACATCCACTAGACACCCATGTAACATGGCATGTGCGAAGCCCGGGTGATCTCCCGTCATTGGGCACAGTACATCGCACTACTCGCGAGCCACTCACTTATACATGTCTCCCTGATCAGGCTGTTTCAGCACAGCAGGAAGTCTGGGCCCTGTACTCACCTCCTGCTCAATTTGTCGGAAAAGAAAACTGAATGATGATCTATGCAAGACTGCTTTGCTTGAGCCCACCTAGGGCCCTAGGATTACAGAGGGAAAACAACGACACATGCCGTGCTTGAAACTGTTGTCTCTCTCCCTCTCTATGAATCTGGGCTTTGTGTACCCGGAAGCACATCAATCACATGACCAATCTCGTGCAACTCGCTGCCCATATCTAGTTCGCGGAGGAATGCTGATCTAGCCGGTCCTCGACGCAAAGGTACTGACGGGCTACTCTTCTGCTCTCTGGCGCAGATGACTGTGGCTGCTGACATGGCTGCCTTCGGATTGCCTAAAAGGCACCAGCCAAACATCCGTGCGTGTTCTGCGCTAACAACACCGCAGTTTCTTCTGCGTCCCGCGCTCATATCACATATATGTATACATATACAGTGTGTGTACATATATGTATATATATATGTGTCATATAGAGCACCCTGCCGCTGAGGACTGTCTTTGTTGCACCTGCGGCCAAAATCATCTGCCGGTGCGCGTCGAGGGAGCAGGTGATGCACCTTATTCCACAGTCTGCAACAGCAGGAAGCTAGCGTCTGGCGGCTCCGATAGATGCATCTATACCATCAGAAACTTGCCAGCACCACATTTCTGCTGGCAACATGCTGACCCTTGAACAAGACAGGCTGGACGATGGGCCTGATATGGCTACCAGAAAGAAAAGCCTCTGCATTTGTGCCCTGCATATGCGAGCCTAGACGCTAAAATTGACTTACAACACTTTCCCGTAAGCTTTGATAAGAGTGACAGCCAATCTTTCCCCGCTTGTCCGCTGCTCTTGCATTGGTGGTTTATAAGCTATCAGGATAATCTCTGGCCTGGATCCTACGAGTATGCACATTTCTTGTCAGGGTCCAGCAAGCACATGAGAAGGTTCATAGGTGTTATTACAGAACGCTCCCAATCCACGCGTGACGAGTTAGGGTAAGTCCAGGGCAGCTATCGCAAATCTGCGTATAACGAGTACCACTAGCCCATCTCATCCCAGCAGGCAGATACTGTAGCATGAAAACAAACTCAGTAAAAACCTCAATACGCGGGAAAGGCGCAACCCGAAGGATCCTTTTGCCTTGGCCATGAAAAGGCGCGTGGCCTGGCACAATGCCAAGAAGGCCAAGAATGCTGCCCTGTGTACTCCATGGAACAAGCATGCGAGTTGCCGGTCCACTAGGTCCTTTCTTATGACTTACTCAAGCCTGGCCTTCAAACTGATTTGCTTGTGTCGCAACTTCGGATAGTGGGTGATTTGATGAGCCAGCGCCTGCAGGAGGTCATTGTCAAAGAACGCATCCACAGCGCACCTGACCATTTTCTGGAGATCCGCTCCTTCAGGTGGCGTGAATGACTTCAGGGCACGCCTGTGGCAACATGTTCAGGCCCTGATTGGTGCAGTTTCTTTTCAATGTAGAAGTGTCGTCTCCCTCTTCTTACTGCCGAAAGGAAAGCAGCCATGTCTGTGTAATCAGGCCACGCTGCAGGCTGTCAGAAGCGGGGCCTGCCTCTACACCTTGGCAACCCGTCGTTATGGAGTCCTTCCATGGGAAGCTTCAGCCCAGCGCCCAGAATGCTGCTCCTGCAGAGTCGGAGATTGTGTATACGTGGCAAAATACGTGATCGGCAGTGAGAGGGGTATAGATCACGTAGAGAAGCGCGAAGACTCCAACGACTCTGTTGACAACAGTCTCCTATCTCGTGCAGCAAACGGGACACGCGACTCACGCAGGAAACGGCCCTTGATGAGGGCCTTCATGAAGGACACCTCCAGCTGGGTAGTTACCAGGTGGGTGACCCCATATTAGGCTGAAGGTTGCTGGGGCTGTATTGGTAGAAGAGGCAAAGATAAGTAAGGTCCATATACCCACCTGGTTGTTCCCGAACTTAGGTATCAGAACCACCTAATCTGACCAACATACCTCCAAAATCAGGGCTCTCCATCCTGCATTCTTCGTAGAGGCGTTCCCTCTTCAGGTTCAGCTGATCCAGCTCCAAGCCTTTCCTCCTCAGATACTTCAGCGCTGCAGATCTTAGTGGTCCTTGCACATTTCAGTAGTTCAGAGGCTGGTGACACAACCGCGCCTCAAAGGGGCTGCTGACCACGAGCATGCATACACTGAACAGGTTTCGGCCCTAGAGCACGTCATCTGTAAGTTTGAACCACAATTCAAATTCCCGAACCTTGCACAAACAATCAGAGCCGAGTTTCAAGTACTTTTGGATCCTTGGCCGCTCTGAGCTCATGGAAGGACATGTTCGCAGAATCGACTTTCGAACACAACTTTTAGGGCCATACTTTCAGGTTGCCTGCTGTAGCCCTAGTCTTGTCCAACCAAAATGCAGGGGTTGCCACAGAAAACCAAAGCCATTTGATTAACTTGGACCAGAGGATCACTTCATCCATCGCTGCACCCACTTGCTCGAAAGACTTGCAGCTGGGCACCTCCGGATTGGCTTCTGCCAATAGAACCCCGCTAGGCGGCGACTTAGCCTGTTTCTAGTACATGCTGCTCCTTCCTAAATTCTGATAATTACATGTGCGCTTTGGATGCTCACGATCCCTTGCTAGCCGCAGATGCAACATCAAAGGATACCAAGGAAACCTGGCGCGAGAAGTCTATGCAGTTGGACAAATGGGTCGAAGGCCCTCAACACCAGACACCTCGAAGTCCAAGTCTGCCCAGCTTGGGCCAAAAAGGTAACCGTACCGTGCGCTCAGCGTGAGTGATCCTTGCACCCGCAGCAACTCCATGGCCTTGGTATCCATTTTGAGCGATGGGCTAACTGATTCATTGTGTCTGATGGGTTTATATTCAGGCAACACTTGATTCGTGGAAGAGGAAATTGGTTGGCCGCATCCTCTGGCCTTCTGCTAGATCCAGAAAAAACCAGATTGGTTGAGCACGATCAATGCAACACACAAGACAACTGACCACTTGCCCCTTCAATATTTCAAAGCAGCGCAAACATCTTTGAGCCAACCCGAGTTGCCCCAGCAATTGCCACAGAGTCGACGTCAGAGGGCCGCGTCTGCCACGTCACCCGCTCCAGCCAGGCCTGCGGAACTTGGGAACTTGAGGGGTCCGGGAAGCAGTCCCTGTGGCAGACCATGTTAAACCTAAGCTGGACCTAATTATGCACAGGAATTCCACCAAAGGAGTTGCAAGAGCTAAGAAAATGCTCAAGTCTACGAAACAAACTGCTCAACAGAGAGAGACGCGGCAAAAAGCATCTTGAACGCCCTACTCATCCATCAGACCACGAACAAGACGACGCTCATATTGCCAGGCAGGCCTGGATTTCTGCAAGCTCATAGGTTTTTCCTGCCAGGCTGTTGAGGCTGTCTTTTGGTTGAAATGCGGATTGGGTACATGGTGCATCTTGTGAACCTGTCTTTCGTTCATTCAAGTAGTTTTGCGTCAACAGGCTGAGGTCTAAGGTGCACCTGCAAACTCAAAGAAGTCAAAATCA